CCTGAACCCCTACCCTAAACCCCTAAACCCTAACACCCTTAAACCCCTAAACCCTTAAACCCTTAAGCCCTAAACCCGAAGCCTCTAAAGCGGAACGGGGCTTTGGGTCTTCAGCACTTTAGGGGGTCGCCTAAGCTTTAGGAGTCTTGGGTTCGGGGTTTGGAGTTTGGGGTCTAAGGTTTAGGGTTCGGAGTTTAGGGTCTAAGGTTTAGGGTTTAGAGTTTAGGGTCGAAGGTTTAGGGTTTAGGGTTTTCTGTAGCTGGGTTTTTGTGTGGATTGTTCCGGTTTTTATACGGGTTAAAGGGATTCCACTATGTGATTCTTGGTGTACTCCTATCCTATCCGTTCAGGAGTCTACTACCTAGGGTTTACACTTGGGGTTCCTTCTTTGTCTGAAACTTACATGTCCAAGATACCCCGAAGACCCCCGAATGAAGCTTGGGGTTTTGCTGTTTTTGTTTTGAGAATTTTTCTGGGACCACTCAAGGAAGGATTTATGTATGTTCAAAAAGGCATTCAAGGTTGTAGTCCTCAACTCCTCAACCCGAAAGGATTGGGGTTTACGGTTTGGGGTTTAGGGTTTAGGGTTCAAGGTTTAGGGTTTAGGGTTTAGGGTTTAGGGTTCGCAGTCCCTAATCCACAGCCCCGCTTGAGACCTTCACCGTGATGTGCGGGGAAATGAAGATCTGATTCGCGCCGAGGTGTCAGCAGTACCAGGGAACTCTTTCGTAGGTAGCAGATGGAGGTGTCAAAGCAGGTTAGTTGTAGAAGATAGTAACTGCCAGTATCATTCCGTAGGGCTCCTTATTATATATAATTATGGTGTAATATATCCCACAACCCTAGTCTAACTATTGAGGCCCCTACGTTAACTTTCGAACTTGGATGGTGGCCGTGGCTCTCTGACTCGTCTGCTATATACTGTCGTGCTGTCATGAGTTGCTGCTTGACCCATAAAATTACACTCTCAACGTTGGACGCCGTAATGTGAATCTGACTAACAAACCCTTTGCCCTTGCAAGTGATTGTATTACCCCAAACCCTAAATCCTGAATACGACAGAGTGAGGGGTGTGTTTGACTGGTGTACTGTCCGGTCGGCTTCCTCATGATGGCGTAAACTACCTCGAAACCCTATTCTTATCCTAAACCCCTAAACCCTGCTCCCTAAAACCACTCCTAAAGCCTATATTGGTGCTCGTGGCCCAGGCTTAGTAAGGAAAGCTATGTTGATTGGGGTTATAAGTAAATATTGCCAGAGCTACGTCACTTACCACCCAAGGTACTAAGTCCCACGATCCTTCAACCCTAAACCCTGATAGATTCCTTTTAGAACCTTTTTGGGAACGCTTTAAGTTACTAAGTCCCGGGATCCTTTCAGAACCATCTACAGGGTTGGGCCGTAAAGGAGTTGCGGTTGAGGATTCCTGTGTCTAGGGTTTAGAAACCAGGGTGTAGGGTTTAGGGATTTACAATTAGAATAAGTTTCCTGTCAGGATTCCGTAAAAGGTCTGTAACGGGGCGCAGTTTCTTTCGCCAGGCTTCGTAGCTTGAGCCCCTGAACTTCTTGACGTTTAGGGGTCAGAAGTTGTAGCTGTGTAGGTTTCTGGGCTTAGGGGTTTTGGGTTTAGGGGTTTTGGGTTTAACCCTAAACCCTAAACCCTAAACCCTAAACCCTAAACCCTAAACCCTAAACCCTAAACCCTAAACCGTATTATTCAGGGTTGAGGACTGAAGAGCGAAGCCGGAAGCCACCCAACCCATGTGGCTTCATGCAGCGAAGGAGAGGGTTCGCAGGGCAGACCGCTAGAAGATTGAAAAGTTGTCAAGTATAGTATCCCCTCGAAGCGACCACTATTTTTAGTATAACCATAAACAGGAAATCTAAGGAATCATCTTTGTAGTTTTGAATCGCCCTAGGTTGCTGATGGAGAGCTGCATGGCGCACCTGATGTTGGCTCACAGCTTGCCACGAGCTCTTGTCCTGGGTTCCTGCTAAGGAACTTAGGGGTTTCAAGCGTCGAATAAGCGCTTAGAGTTTGGGTTAAGGAACTTAGCTTAAATTGCCATGAAAAGGGGTCCTCCGCACATAGTAGTGCTTCCTGATTGCCGTGACTTAATTTCCTTCAGAAGAACCCAGTACCCCAACCAATAAGGCTTGGTTGCTAAACACTACACAGTCAAAACCCTAAACCCGAAACCCGAAGCCCAACCTAACAAACCCGCAATCCCAAGCCCTAGACCCAAAACCCCAAAACCCTAGCACCCTAAACCCTAAACCCTAAACCCTAGACCCTAAACCCTAAACCCTAAACCGCGCGAAAGGGTTTGGAAGACGTTGCAAGGCGGACACCAAAAAGGCACTCAAAAACTAATAAACCGCAAACCCTGAACTCCTACTCCCGAAACAGCCCAGGGTTCTGGAGTACCATACTTGAATACTTTTTTTGGACGTCCTTGCAAGAACCATTGTGAAGTAAAGGTCTAAAGTCTATACTTTGAAGGAACCATTATGAAATAAACGTCGATGCTTTTTCTCCCTTGCTACGTCAAAGTCCAGAGCACCATGGCTTGAAGCTCTGCCGTCCTGCCCCCGCCGGTGCATCGGGCGATGTTGGGCGCCCAGACAACTATGGGGAGCCCGTAAGAATCGGTACCCGAACATAGGGTTCAGGGTTTATGGGTTTTGGGTGACAGGGATTCAGGTGTTAAGTTGGTGCAACGCTCTTTTTCCCTACATATTGGCCGGATAGATAGGCATGACGACCTGTCGTAGATGAGCGTGGTGTGAGCAAAGAAAAAAACCCGAACCTTATACTCTAGCCCTAAATCATCTGAACCCTAACCGCGCCAAGAAAAAAAAGGAGCCTGGTTATACTCTAGCCCTAAATCACCTAAACCCTAACCGCACCAAGAACAAGCCTTAAAACATAACCCTAAATATTCTGTTTTGCAAGCAAGCAGTTTTGCGTGAATGTTTTTTGCGAAGCATCTCCACTGGCATGCCGATGCCTGTGAGGCTGTGCCCAAAGACACGCAGGGCTGAGATCTCTGTTAGGTTCAGTTTGTAGCAGTAACTAGTAGGCATCACTTAATTCCTACATGCACGTAGGAGAAGGCATAGTCATACTCAAATGTAGACCATTGATTATACCTCAGTCTCGCAGACTCACAGAGTTCCAATATGTAGGAATCTAGGATAGCAGAAAGATGCTATGGTTGTGGCTTTCACTGATGCTTTTCAAAGCGTGGCTGATTGCAGGGCCTCGCGAGGTCCAGTGCCAGACTGCTTTTGGAAAGAAGCGGCAGAACATAAGTGTCCAAGCACGGCTGCTTGAACCATGGAGTCTGGAGAAGGATTCATTGCAGGCTGCAGATTCTCTTGCGCACCACATTGTTGGCGTGGTGTGTTGCAGAGCAGATTTCATTTATGATTGTGGATGTATTTTGACACGCTCTCAGAATGCTCAGCGTCTTCACTGGCAACATTGGGATGTGAGTGAGAAGGACTTGTGGTTTTTCAAAGTGCAAGACATGGTTCTTTTCAGAGAGCCTCTGCCATGTGATCAATATGTTCAGCATTCCAAGAGCCAGGTGTACGACGTGATTTCTGCAGACTGTGCTGCAGAGCTTGGCCTGCATGTAGCTGAGCTTCCGAATGGTAGGCCACAGTGGTTGTCTCAAGACCCCAGGTTGTGCTTCAAGTTTCCTCCTCGTTTCGCGTACCTCCTTATGCATAATCCTACATGGCGAGACGTTTGCCTTCCTTCCCCGTTCATTCGCGGAAGGTTCCATGTAGCGGAATGGAAGCTAGACATGATGTCACATGCTTTTGCCAGGGCTTTCCAAGGCCTGCAGTCGCGACCTAGGCCCAGCCCAAGTCCAGCAAACCAGGCCTTGTTTACATTGCGGGATTGTCAGAACCTTGCTGATGATATTCGCAACGTCATGTGCCAGTTGCCAGAAGACAAGCAGGAAGAGTTGATACCGTGGGTCATGCAACTACAAAACACTTGCGACCAGATATCCGGACCCAAAGAGCTTTCTGCCAAATTTCACAAGATGATTGATTTCGTGTTTCTTTGTGATCTATTGCATGATGTGTCGCAGGCGAAAGAGGCCATTCACAGGTCTATGAAGCTTTGCCTGCCGGCATCTTTGCACGACGTCGCAGAGATGCACCTGAACGAAAGCCGGCTTTTTGACAAGAGTGAAGTGAGTCGTTTCAGACTTGTTTTTGATGTGGCATTCATGATGTGGCAGCGGGCAGTTTCATGGATCACACAAGCTGTGCAAAAGCAGAAGGTCGCACGTTACTTGATGTGGGACTCTTCCCCGCAGTTCAGACGGGATTATGAGATGATCCGACTTGTGTCCGTGCCAGAATCCGAACTGCATTTCCTGTATGAAGCAACTGATTGTATGGCTGCTATGTGGTTGGAAGGAGGTCGTTACGACTTGGAAAAGGACCTGGATGAACAGTCTGTGAAAGACGACAGTCGGGGTGAGGAGGAGGAGGCAGCATTGATGCAAAGAGCTCGGTCTGTGATGCGGCCGCATGTGCTGCCCGCAGTGCTTTTGGGGTTTGGGGCGACGAGTTTACCGCACAAGTTCCACGCTCTGGCCCATGCTTTTCGCTTGGAACAGTTCAATGGCTCAGCGTTGGATTCATTCTGCAGAGAGATTGTTAGTGTCACTTCGGACTTTGGCGTAGAGCACATGTTGGGTCGAGTGGCATCCGTTCCTATCAGCTCCACGTGCCAGTTCTTTGCGGATACAGATGAGCAATCAATACAAAGTGTCTTGAAATCTTTGCCGAATGCCAGGCCAGATCCGAGTGAGGTCATCTTTGAAGAGCCAGCCTCGGCTCGGGCTGTGATAGACTTGCCTGGCGAGCTGCCCAACAATCCCATGGACTTGAGTGACGATGTTGGTCAGGATGCTTTTGATTTGGATCTTTCAAACAATCCAGATCTCCTCGAATCTCCAAACTTGGATCCTGTACCCATAGGTGTTGACGATTCTGACGAACCCGAGCGTGAGGTAGACGAAATTTTTGAAGAAGTCCCTGAGCCCCCGTCCATAGACTTCAAAGACATGCTCACTTTCCCAGGCGTGCATCATGTCTTGGACAATGCAGTGAACGGCATGTCAGGCGTTATGGCCAACTATGAGGAACTCATGCCCCAGGCTGCGAAGTTATGCAGGTTTTTGCGGAACTCTGAGACCCGAGACATACTCCTGGAACGTTGCTTTGGTGGTCCTGTCGGGTTGCAGTTCAGAAAGGAGCTTCGGGAATTCCGCGGAAACATTTACCCCGGAAGGTGGGGTACAGTTGCTTTCAGCGTGCCGCTTCTTTTATCTGTGGAGCCTGCTCTAAGGTGGGGATGGGACAAGGCTCGATACTTGCAAGATGCGAATGCAAGGACGGCCGCTGTTACAGCGATTGTGGAGGAAGTGGACCAAGCGATGGGTTCATCCTTTTTCTGGGCGTGGCTTCGGGTTGTTGATATGTTAGTTCGAGCAATCCGAAAAACAGCAGCCCGGTTAGAAGGTTGTTCGTGCCACTGGGGGTTGCTTCGGAAATCACGCAACATGGCAAATTTTCCCCGTGCCATTCGGAGGCGTTGGATGTCGTGTCCGATGCGAGGGCTAAGGGCTGCTGAACTTAGCAGCGGCGACCTGCTGTTCGTAGCGGGCATCATTTGCGACAATTCAGCAGTTGAGCTTTTGCAGAGGCTGCCGGGGGACATATCGGCAGCAGACAGAGCAGCCTTATTAGCAGAGTTTGATGCTGGGCGCTCGCACTTGTGCTTCTACTTGGCTCTAAAGCTGACTGCTTTGGAGGAATGGCCCTGGAAGATATGTGGTCTGGGGCACCTAGACACTGAGAGTGCACATGATGTTCTTCGTCAGGCTCTGGCCACCCCTCATACGGATGCGAGGCTTTCTGCGTTGAAAGGGCCGCTGCGTCCTTTGTGTGTTCGATGGCTGGAAGGTGAAAGCCTTTTGGCGGACGGCATGGCCCCGTTGCTGTCCCTTGTAGCTTCGCTGCGATTCATTCCGATCAATGAGAGGCCAGCAGAGGCACTGCACCGTCAGACGAAGCTGCACGGTCGAAGTCGCCCCTGTCATTCTGTTGCTCTGATGTCATTGAAGCAAAGAATGCCCGAAATCAAGGCTTTGTTTGAAGACAGACCCCAAGCGTTGCATGACATGGCACACCTGTGTCACGAGATTCGCAACAATCGGTTGAGTGTTCATGCCGTTGGTCTGCAGAACCACCCGACCCTGCAAGGGTTGAGAGGCCGGAACTCTCATCGACATCCCTTGATGGCTCAGGTGATTTATCATGCTGATGCTCGCACGTTGTATTCCATTGAGGCTCCAGAGCTTGCCATGCGTCCCGGAGCACCGCCGCGTGCACCTGCGCCCAATGATGGAGGTGACGGTGGACCTGGGCGAGAGAATGGGGACGATCGCCCAGAGGGCGATGATGACGAGGCCGGCTTTGGTGCCGGCGACGACGACTCCGATGCAGCGAGTTCTACTGGAGCCGGTGAACTTGCGGCTGCAGTAGAGAGACATGAGGGCGACACGACGGGCATTGCTCGAGTGCTGGAACGTCAGACAGCTGAGTCCAAGCTGTTGCTGCACGCACTGATGTTGAGCCGGTTATGCGGTCTTATGAAAGATGAAGACCACTTCCTTTCACTTCCATATCCTGCCAAAGCCATGCGAACCCTGGCTACTGCTTTAAGGATGGGCCAGCAGCCAGGCTATCAGCCCGGTAGTGATATCAATTTCGATGCAGAGCTCGGAGTTCGCCCACCAAGAGGCACAGAGCTGCCGATCGAGGCGACACTCGCGCACAAGCGAGAGCTTACTGCTGCAGCACGTTCCACGATGTTCTTCAAGGTTGTGCGGTCCAATCCGGGGTCCCTCAAGCGCAACAAAGTGGAGAATGAGATCGGCTTCAAAGCAGCCGACGTCGTCGTGGCACCTCACAGGCTGTGTTGCATCCAGGCATCTCAGAGGCGGGTCGCTGTTGAAGCCACGTCCCTGCAGCTTCCTTCTCGGACACGGGAATCGATGGCTGGAAGCAGTGTGATCATCAGCTTTGCAGCCTTGGAGTGTGAGCAGCTGGCCGAGCTTCGTGTGTGGGAGACTAAAGCTGGCGTCCAATGTTTCATCAAGGCTGACCTGTTGCCAGAGTCAGAAAAGTGGTCACGTGACAGACAGGAAGCAGCAGGCATCCTTCTAAGCGAGTTGGTTGAGACTGCTGCTGGGGTGCGAGACACCTTCTGGCGACTGGCCGCTGAGAGAAGGGAGCTTTTACGGCTTTTTCACGGGCGTGGTTGGGTGGAGAAACGACAGGCGCATATGCAACCTGTGACACAAAACTCGTTCGTGAGATTTTCGGGCCCCTAAACCTTAAATCCTTACACCCCAAGATTCGTGTGTATGCTGTTTTGTCGAGCAGGATTTAAGGGGAGATCGGTTGTTCCGTCTTGATTTGCAGGACTCTGGACTTTGGGTGATGACACCTGCAGGAAAGACTGCTGTGGACATCTGCTTCTTTCTCTGCAAGCCCGAGCCAGTGTTGGAAGTTCGAGCAGATGTCCCGCTTGAAGACCTTTCACCGTGGGAGCTGGCTTTGATGTTGCTTCGCAAGGGGTTTCAACACGTGGTGGAACCTCGCTCAAAGAAGGATGCTGACTTTCTGCCAGGTGGTGATGCCAAGAAGTGGTATTCCGCACCGAATGCAACAACTGCCTCCAAGGAATACCTGCGGTGTTTGCTGCGGGGTGATCTACAGGTTCCACATTGGAAGCCCAATGGTTTTTACACAGCTTTGCTGGCTGGGGAGCAATATGAACCAAAGCCACGGCCATTACAGATGTATGTGTGCGATGAGGACGACATGGAACCTTCTTTGCCCAAGCCAACTCGAGCTAGACGAGCACAGAAGGCTCCCCGGAAGCGGCAGCCACAGTCGCCGGCAGCTGCGTTGGAACAGGAATGTGCAGATGAT